TTTTATTTGATTTTGGTCTATAGTTTCAGTTCTGATGTTTCCCAATATTTTCTGAATAAACATCAAGGGGGTTGTTGTTGTTGTTGTTGTTGTTGTTGCTAGCTGAACTAAATGACATGGATACTTGCTCTGATCTGAATACAGGGCTTGATTGGAGTGTGCTGGATGCAAAATAAGATGGAAATTACCAATAGTAATTTTGCAATAACGAGAACTAAATGAGGTAGGTTACCATCTGAGCCATAAAAAGTTATGCCTTGAAAGTTTATGTTTCTTCTCATTTTTATCTTCACTTTGGTTTGCTACAAATTTCACCTCAAATGCAAGTGAATTCATTAGCATTCTTTGACTGTATCTAAATGATTTTCATAAACAGATTAAACCAGACCAATCTGGTTGCTTAATTATACCTACCTACTTAATAGGTAAATCAAAGCTTTGCAATTAATGCAAGCCACATTAGCATTACATAGTTAATTACTGTATATGCTCATTAAAGGCAGCAATAATTATGATAAAATATTTTGAAATATTATTTTCATTTTTGCCTAACAAAAACAGCAGCAGAATTAAAACCCACAAGAAACCACAATCCCGTATTCACTTGCACGAGAGTAAGTCTTCTTGTATTTAACAATTCAGAGTACATAGGCACATATTGGATTGCGGTACAAGTTGCTCAGAGCACTAATGGACCGGAAAGGGGAATAGAAGATTCTGCATGAATGTAATCTCTCCTGCATGAAGACCTTATGACTAACTTTGACTGTATGATTCAGTCCACTTCTTAAGGTTTCAGGGTAACTTTAAACATTGGAATAATGGAACTACTGTTTTCTGAGAGTCTTATTTCTAAGAGCCAATGAAACAATCCAAAAGGTCTCCTCAATCAGCTTCTTTCTAGGTTTCATTATGGTTACAAATTAAGAACGTAAACTGTGTTCCTCTAAAAGACTTTCATGACTTATGCTCATCCAAACACCCCCTAAAATAAATAGGCTAAAAAAGTCAGACAGTTTGGTGACTTCCTATCATCACTTCTTGTGGCCCTCCGGTGATCAAAAAATTAAGCTGCAGTCTCTACCCTTCAAATGCTGGGTATGTTAGATATGTTAGATATGTTTACTAGGTACTTATGATGGCAACCCAAAGCAAAGACATAAAGTTCCAAGAACCTAATATGCATCCTAATAAGAGCCTTGGTGGTGCAGCGGACTAAAGTGCTGTTAAAGTAGCACTTAGCTGCCAGCTGCCTGCAATTACTGTGAGTTCAAATCTCACCAGGCTCAAGGTTGACTCAGCCTTCCATCCTTCTGAGGTAGGTAAAATGAGGACCCGGATTGTGGGGGCAATAAGCTGACTTTGTATAAAAAAGAACACCGCCCTACTAAGCCCTACTAAGCCCTACTAAGCCCTACTAAGCCCTACTAAGCAGGTATATACAAAAGTATGAAGGCTATTGCTTAACGCACTGTAAGCCGCCCTGAGTCTCTGGAGAAGGGCAGCATATAAATCGAACCAATAAATAAATAAATATATAAATAAATAAATAAATCCCTGCTGAAAGGAGACCACAAGGTGAACATTGTTGTAGCCTGCATGATGCAGTGCAAGTCTGGGAAATGTATGGCTCTCTAAACATTACCAAAATATATTCCCAGAAGCACAAGGCTATACGGCCAATCATGAAATTGCTGGGATTTACAGAACATAGAATAGTAGGGTTTGAAGGGACCTTCGAGATTTTCTACTTCAACTTCCTGTTCAAGCAGGAGACCCTATACCCATGATGGCGAACCTATGTCATGTGTGCCACAGGTGGCACACAGCGCCCTCTCTGTGGGCATGTGAGCCGTCGGCCCAGTTCAGCTCTACCATGCATGTGCGTGCACCTCCCGCCGGCCAGCTGGTCATTGGGTCTCTGAAATGCATGCATGGGGAGTTGGGGTATGTGCGGGGTGCATGTGCTTGTACACATGCGTGGGGACGGGGGGCACACACATGCAGGGGGCACATGCAAGGAGGCCACGTTAGCATGCATGGGGTGGGGCGCATGCGGGGGGCTGCATGTGCATGCGGGGGGCCATGCACACGTGCGGGGGGGTGCATGCTGAGGCCACGCTCACATTCGCAGGGGTGGGGGCCATGCACAGGGGTCTCACACACATTGCATTTTGGGGTTCGGGCGCACGTGCACGCTTTGGATACTCAATCCAGAAAACGTTAATTATAACTGTCCTATACCATTTCCAAAAGGTATAGGGCAGTTATAACAAAAGGTTGCCCAGTCTCTTCTTGAAAATGGAACACCCAAAATTTCTCTGGGCAAGCCATTCCACTGATTAATTGTTCTCACTGTCAGGAAATTTCTTCTCAGTTCTAGGTTGGCTCTCTCTTCAATGTTATTCCACCCATTATTTCTTGTCCTGGTCTTAGGTGCTTTGGTGAATAAGTTGATCCCTTCATCTCTGGGAATGCATGATCCCATTCTGGTTATACTAATTATCCCCCTAGACTAGGACGAAAGAGAATTTCTGCCCAGCTGTAACTTTAGAATTTTTTTTAGAAGAGAATCTTAGCCTAAGAACCGTCTTTCCTGGAGGAAGGATAGTATAAAACATCAACGCAAAATCATATAACAAACTATATTATTTGGAAAACAGTTGTTCTTAATGAATTCTTTGGAAATTTGTGCTTTGGGGAGGAGGGGTTTTAACATTTCCTGAACAGAAAATAAATTTTGGCTACCAGCAATTTTAAGCATAAACATTTCATTGACTGAGCTAGGTCTAATTTAAGATATATCTGAACTTAGATGAAATACTGTCCTGCAAAATTATTCTGAAAACTTCAATGAGAAATTTTGTATAAATTATTTCAAGTCAGAATTCATGTAAATTATAGAAATGCCAATTGCCATCCTTAGATTGGAGATTTCAAGGCTAAAATTTGTTGAAAAATTCATTTTCAAAATCACAAATTCCAAGAAACATTTTCCTTCCCTGAACAGAACATAGGAAGATGGTTCGGCCAGAGCTGTCTCTCTGTAGTGATTTCTCTAAGTAAGCAGTTTCATTTTAATACAGGATTTATTAATTATTAATAATTTTCTGATTCATTTTTCTGACAGTCAGAAGTTTGCAAGCATTCCATTATGTCATATTAATTTAACTATGATAACCCCTCCTGCTGTTCTTGGGCAAGTCATCTGGTCTCAGCCCAGTTCATAATGACTGAGATTCCCCTGCACAGCTATACAAAATTCTTCATGTATGAGCAAATGTTGTGCTTATTCCTCCTGTTGTTTTTTCTTCTGTTCAATCACATCCAATTCGCAGAGACTCCCTGTATTGGTCCCTGCAGTTTTCTTGGCAATGTTTTTTTTTCCAGAAATGGTTCTGTTGCCCATTCCTAGGGCTGAAAGCAAATGACTGGATCCAGCTGGCTTTGTGCCTCAACTAAGCCTAGTCTAAGTCTAGATTAGTCTAGTCTAAGCCTAGATGTTTCAATAGGGGTTGCCACAAAGAAGAGGGAGTCAAGCCAGGGGTGAAATGTAAAATGTGTTACTACCGGTTATATGGGTGTGGCTTGGTGGGGTGGTGGTGGTAATGTGACTGGGTGGGCATGGCCAACTTTTTTTTTTTTTTAACTTTTCAAAGCATTTTTTCTAATGCTTTGAAAAGCCTCTGGCCGTCAGGCAACTCAGCTGGGATCGTCAGAGAGGCTTTTTAAAAAATGCTTTGAAAGGTCTCTCTGCCGATTAGGCACTCAGCTGAGACTTTTCAAAGCATTTTTTTTACCACCTCTTCAGCCAAGAGGTTGCAGAAAAAAATGCTTTAAAAAGCATCTGAGGATCCCAGCTGAGCCGCATGATCATCAGAGGCTTTTTTTTTAACTTTTAAAAGCATTTTTTCGTCAGAAGAGGTTGTAGAAAAAATGCTTTTAAAAGTTAAAAAAAAAGCCTCTGATGATCATACGACTCAGCTGAGCATGAAGGGGGGGGCCCAGGGATTTTTGCTACTGGTTCTCCGAACCACCCAGCGCCATCGCTACCGGATCGGGCAATCCGCTCCGAACCGGGAGCATTTCACTCCTGAGTCAAGCTATTCTCCAAAGTACCTGAAGGTAGGACAAGAAGCAATGGATGGAAACTAATCAAGGAGAGAACTAAGAAGAAATTTCCAGGCAGTTAGAACAATTAGTCAGTGGAACCAACTTGCCTCTAGAAGTTGTGAATGCTACAACACTGGAAGTTTTTAAGAAGAGATTGGACAACCATTTGTCTGAAACAGTATACAGTTTCCTGCCTGAGCAGGGGACTAAAAGACCTCCAAGGTCCCTTCCAACTCTGTTATTCTATTCTAGATTAGACTTTGTGCCATGGACTAGAACTCATGGTCTCTAGCCTGATGCCTTAACAGATAGTTCTTGACTTATGACCACAATTGGTCATTGGTCGCTAAGCAGGAAGCACTAAATGAGTTGCATTCGATTTTATGACTTTTTTTAAGCAAATCACTGTAATTGTTAAGTGAATCATGCAGTCATTAAGTGGATCCAGCTTCCCCCATTGACTTTGCTTCTCAAAAGCCATGTGGGAAGGTTAAAAATGGTGATTACATGATCCCAGGAAACTGCAACCATCATAAATATATGCTGCTTGCCAAGCACCTGAATTGCAATCATGTGATTGTGGGGATGCAGTGACGGCTGTAAGTTCCAGGACCAGTTATAAGTCACGAATTTCATTATAACTTCGAATGGTTGCTAAACGAAAGCTTGTAAATCAAGGACTAATTGTACACTGAACTGTTACGAAATACAAAATACTGAATTCACAGCCCAAAAGGGGTGAGAAAATTCCTAATGCACATATTGTTTTTTTGGGGGGGGGAAATAGAGTTTGAAGACGTAGCTTTCCAATTATCATAGTTACCTTTTGCTTATTACTGGAATAAAAAATCCGATGCATATTTTAGGCAGCAGAAAACAAGACTTAATTAATTGGCAAAACCATTTATTATATTTTTAGAAGTGTGGGAGAAAAAACCTAAAATACACCCTCTCTCCCTAAGAAAATAGTGAGAAATCACAAGGGAACCCTGATAGTAAATTACTCAAACGCATTTGCGATGGATACTCATACTCAAAAGCATTTGCGATGGACAATGGAAGGACCAGCTTCTTCATATTCATCTTTGCTGATCCACATTTGCTGGAAAGTTGACAGAGAAGCTAATATAGAACCTCCAATCCAAACAGAGTATTTACGTTCTGGAGGTGCAATTATCTAGAAAAAGTAAGGAAAAAAATTAGAAATTTTTAGTGCAAAAATCTATCAATGACATCACTCATAATGGTTAGAGACCTTTATTTAATTTCATTTATAATGATTATAGAAAATGGATACAATGCAGCATGCAGTTATAATATCTACAATAATTATAAGGTTCTATGGAAACAAGGCAATTGTTTAAAACAAACAATTATTCATCTACTTCATGACAAATTCTGTGGGGGTCTTTTATCTATTTATTTATTTAGCTCAGGTTAAACTGAATGATTTATAGCCTGCTCTATCCTGAAAGCTCAGGAAGGTCACATAAAAGCAGCTTAAGATCACTTGAAAAGCAGCATCTACATATATATCTGAGTCTAACATACCAATCATTCTTGTGTTGTTCAATAAGACTTTGATCCTTTCTCCTGAGTGGTATGGCTGGTTCACAGTACAGGTAGTCCTCAACTTATAACCATTCATTTAGTGACCATTCAAAGTTACAACATCACTGAAAAAAAGTGACTTATGACAGTGGTGAAATCCAAACTTTTTTACTACCGGTTATGTGGGCATGGCTTGGTGGGAGTGGTGTAGTGTGGCTTGGTGGGCGTGGCTTGGTGGGTGTGGCAGAGGAAGGATACCGCAAAATCTTCATTCCCACCCCACTCCAGGGGAAGGATATTACAAAATCTCCATTCCCACCCCACTCCAGGGGAAGGATATTGCAAAATCTCCATTCCCATCCAACTCTGGGGCCAGCCAGAGGTAGTATTTGCCGGTTCTCCGAACTACTCAAAATTTCTGCTACCGGTTCTCCAGAACCTGTCAGAACCTGCTGGATTTCACCCCTGATTTATGAGCATTTTTCAACCCTTGCAGCATCCCCGTGGTCCCATGATCAAAATTGGGTCATCTTTATGATGGTTGCAGTGTCCCGGAGTCATGTGATCACCTTTTGTGACCTTCTGACAAGCAAAGTCAGTGGGGAAGCAGATTCACTAAACAACCATGTCGCTGACTTTACCACCTGCAGTGAGATTCGCTTAATAACTGTGGCAAGAAAGGTCATAAAATGGGGCAAAATTCACCTAACAACTGTCTTGCTTAGCAACAAATATTTGGGGCTCAACTGTGATTGTAAATTGAGGACTACGTGTAACCTCTTGAGGTTATTGTATCATCCAGACATCTCTATAAATAAGCCAGAAAACAATGTTCTCTAATTAAATGGCACCAGCACCCAGAATATGATACAGAAAGCCACAAACAACAGATGGCCATATCCTGCCACTTCACTCGAGGAAGGATCCAACAAGTTTATCTTGTAATCCAAATATATTCTTATATGGCAGGAAGGTGGAAAGGAAAAAAAAAGGTTATGGAAATTTTATTTTAAGAATCAAAAAGTCTTTTTTTTTTTTTTGAAGTATCACTTCTTGCTAGAGCAAAAAGTGGCCTTCTTGGAAAAACAGTTTAAAACTAGGTAGAACATTTGCTAAATTTGTGTATTCCAGTGTCAAGAAAGATAAGAGTGCATCATCAAGATGAATAGCAAGTGAGGTAAATAAACTTTTTATTGTATCAAAAATACAATTATTGAAAACAAAATGGCCTCAACCAGAGAATCTATGCCATTGATTCTGATTTCTGTATCTTTGATATCTGCATAAAACCTTTGTTTGTTTCTTTGAACAGAAGTCAAAACAGCATTCTTAAAAAAAATTCCTAGATAATATTTCAGGAATACATTATTAAATATCTATTAGATGAATATTAAACATAATATTTACTTTAATTTTCATAGTACTTGGAGCCAGTGCTGTGATTTCTTTCTGCATACGATCACCAATACCAGGGTACATGGTAGTTCCTCCAGAAAGCACATTATTAGCATAAAGATCTTTACGGATATCAATATCACATTTCATTATGCTGTTATAAGTAGTTTCATGGATCCCAGCAGATTCCATTCCTGTAAAGAAATAAAATTAACTGATCAAAGATTTCAAAATAGATTGCTTTTCCAAGTCATTGCTAAGAATGTAATAGATGATTATATATTGTTTGATAATCTATGATAGTTGTTCAGCCAAATGCATGATTTCTTTTATCCAGTTTATAAAGATATCCAGATCTTATTTTGATGACTTTATAAGAAAGGCATTCGAAGGTATCTGCTGATATGTTTAAATAGTCACAGAATTTATATCCCAGCAGTCTACATGTAGACGTGTAAATTTCTCCATGTCTTCTGTCAATTTGAGAATCTACCAATCTTCATGTCAATATAAAAATCATATCCAAAGGCATTTTTATTTTTATTTTTTGAAAACTCTTACACTGTTCCTGACTATAAAACAAATCAGCTATGCAACAATCACAAGGCAGACACATCCACCCATTCACTAAGACATTCAACAAGAGCTTTAGCACCCATAAAGCATAAGGAGTTTTATACCACATAACTTTATCTTTGTTCAGCAGAGTCAAGCCACACAAAGAAGGGGAACATGTCCAGGCCTACCTATGAAGGATGGCTGGAAGAGAGTTTCAGGGCATCGAAACCTTTCATTGCCAATTGTGATAACTTGGCCATCAGGAAGTTCATAGCTCTTCTCCAAAGAAGATGAAGAAGCAGCAGTAGCCATTTCATTCTCAAAATCCAGAGCCACATAGCATAACTTTTCCTTAATATCTCGCACAATCTCACGCTCCGCTGAAAATAGCCAAACAAACGTTAAACGAGGAAGACAATTGAAACAAGATTGAATAGGGGGATGAAAGGATTATTGTAATGTTAAGGAGGGATGAGGCCACTCTAACTGCAATAAAGAAAGGAATAAAGTTGGTCATGAACAACTTTGGTTAATCTAAAACATAAACAATGCTTAGGTTTCTCAGTAACATTGTATTAATACAGATTAATGAAAACCTTTTGATGAGAAAAGACAGGTAGCACTTTATGCTGTTTTTACAAAGCAGCTTTAAGAAAAGTGCTGGTTACCTGTAGTAACAAAAGAATATCCTCTCTCTGTAAGAATTTTCATGAGATAATCAGTGAGATCTCTTCCAGCCAGATCTAGTCTCATGATAGCATGTGGCAGGGCATAACCTTCATAGATAGGTACATTATGTGTCACGCCATCACCAGAGTCCAGAACAATTCCTAGGAAAGCAGAAAAAGAGTGTCAATATTTTTCATTGCAGCATTCACTCTTTGCTTTTTAACATTTTTATCTCTGAAAGGAAAAATTATAGGCTTTTCCCCACTTGCATCTAATCATGGCACAAACATATCCTCAGAAAATTCGTTTTCTGCCATATTCCCATAACATTGCTTTCATTTCATCCCCAGCCCATAAGTAACACAGTTTGAAATAATCTTTAGCCAACTGGGATTAAAGTAATTGTAGCCCCTTAACCTGGCACTCTCCAAGAGAAACTGAAGATATAAACATAAGATCTTTTACGCTTCGTCACTCATTTCCTTGGAGATAAGTGAAGTGATTGGAAGTGACTAAGAAGAAAAACAAAGAGGCAAGATATATATCAGCTTATGCAGAAGCACAAAGCTGCAAGATTTGGATGGCTCCATCCCTAGTAGCATTTCATAAGATCTGATTCTTCCCTTGGGCGATAGGCCAAGATGCTGGGTGGGCTCATGTTCAGGAATATGATTGTGTGGCTTATGAATCATTCTTAGTGAAATGAGTTGTTTTGCTTGTTCTTAAATATTTACGATTCCTTTTATTGGACTGTTACCACCCAGAGTTATACAATGTACTGTATGGTGGCCATGTAAGTCAAATAAATAAACAATAGGATCAATATCATATTGATATGCTTCTCTGCTGATTCGGGAATGGGTGAATGGCTCTTCAGTTCAATGCAGGGAAAAAGACCATCAAGTAACTCTCCCCATTATTTGTATTCTAAGTGGCTCTTTCCTTCTGCAGGAGAGAAAACTGCTGACCAATAACAATAGCAACTGCCTCTCCCTGAAACATGAGTCAGAGATTGCTTGGCATTGAGTTTAAATTTCAATAGTTTTTCATTTTAAAAAAGGGATCCCAAACAATTCATGAAGATTCCAAATGCTGATGTATCAAGATTTAGACTGATCTTCAAAACCTGTACCTTTTTACAAAATAAAGCACAGCAACTTTTCCCAAGGCAACAAATCTTAATGTACATAGAAGCCAAGGGGACGGGGTCAGAGAACAAATGAAGTCTGCTGTTGCAGTTACAAAGGATATGCCCTTCAAATATAGGCTATGCATCAAATGCTCAGGAACCATAGGCCAAAAATAAAAGTATTGATTTAATTATTTAGGTCAAGTAGCCTCTACTGACCAGTCTCTTTGCTGCTGTTGGCCAAACTCGCCATTTCGTTTCAACCCCTTGGACTGGCAACAGCTATCACAGAGTCAGTTGGTAGAGATGCTAGTTTGTCAGAAAATAAAACATCCTAAACAGTGTTTGCTAGTATCCCTGTTTCTATAGCTACAAAATGGCATAAGCCATTTTGCCCTGGACATAAAGACACTTTATTGAATATGTGCAAATTAATTCAAATATACCAGATATATATTATATATATATATATATATATTATATATTGAATATATATATATTCAAATATATTTATACAAATATTCAATATAGCAGAGTATGAAAATACAACATATCCTAATACAACTATATATAAGGATACATATTTCTGTCTATCATTGTTAAATGATTTAAAGTAATCTTAGGAACAAATGATAACGTGCAATCCTTTCCTGCGGCCAAATTAGTTGAGATACTCTGCTATGTTCAAATGCTATACTTATACTTGGCATTTGTTTCAGCCATGCTTCAAATTACTTTTCATATTTGAAAATCTAAACTTATTTAATTTTATAACATTACAGGCAAGAATAGAGACATTATACCATATCTGAACATTTGTCTAGCATAATATCACTGAGGGTGGAATGGAACGTAATACAAAAGCTTCCCTATATGAAATCAGTAAGGAGTATTTTCTCATAAAGTTTGGTAGGATAAAACTTAATCATTGTATTATGTATCAGTGCTCGATGTAAGAAAAAATGGAAGGTGATAGATAAATTCATAGAAATACATTTTTTTTAAAAAAAGGGAATAGAAACTACAATCCAAATTTACCAGTAGTTCGTCCAGATGCATACAAGGAGAGAACGGCTTGAATGGCCACATACATTGCTGGTACATTGAATGTTTCAAACATTATCTGTAGATGAAAAGATTATTAGCAACTCCAAATATGGGGAGAGAACAGCCATAGTCCTACACTAAGACATGGGACAGAAATTATCTCAAGAGCATACAACTTGGAACACTGGAATTATGTTAAAGGATGTAAATTCCAGATAAAAGTTAGGAATAAAAAAAAAATCTAACACTATGAGCAATTTCACAGTAAATCTAATTTCAAAGGAAGATGGTGAGAAACCTTGCACTAGCTGTATTCTAGTGAAGCTGGACAGCTATCCACAAGGATGCTTCCATTTGGATTCCTGACAGAACAGGAGATTGAATCTAGGCCCACAAGCCTCTTCTAGCATTATGGTTCCAAGAAAGAGGAATAGTTTGCTTCCCAAAGTATACTGAGGCAACAGGGTTTGCCTGCATTTTCATGGATAAAATATCTGATATACTGTATCTGCTGTGTTATTTTATAATAGATTATTTTAATGTTTTTTTTAATGTTTTCATGTTGCAAGCCACCTAGAGTCATTGGATACAAGATGGGCAGCAAATCAATTCCACAATAATAAAATACCATCAGAAGAGATTAATTTCCTATGTTATATATGCAGGGACAAGAATTGTATGTAAAGTTTAGCCATAATGTGACTGGGGAGGGGGAAGGGGGCTTTGTAAGGTGTTCAAACTACCATATAAATTCTCAGTTAGCATCTCTTTTATGGATCACTTTTATGGACCCCCACAGCTTCAACCTTAAACTGTCTACAGTGGACGTCTTTTATGGATCTTTTTATCTTTTATGGAAACCGTGGATGTCTTTAATGGATCTCTTTTATGGACCCTCACAGCTTCAACCTTAAACTGTCTACCAGTGGACCTCACCCCATTCCTAAGAGGTCCATAAAGAGGGCTTGCAGTGTGCCTACCGTCCCTGTCCTACTGTCCCCATTTATTTGTATTCATTTCCTGTGTTCATGTCAGGGATGAAATCTACTTACCTTCCCTACCGGTTTGGACCGGTTTTAACCGGTCATGGTTACTTATCGGTTAAAACCAGGAAGTAATCACGACCGAGCGGGTGGACGCTCCCATTGCTACCGATTCTCCAAACCACCTGCCGCCATTGCTACCGGTTCAATTGAACTGGTCCGAACCAGTAGCATTTCACCCCTGGTTCATGTCCATCTTTATACTTATACCTGTTAGCTTGTACATGTTTGACAAACTAAATAAACAAATAAATAAAAATAAATAAAAAACATTGGCTTGTTTCAACCAGTCTAACAAATTATTACTTATTTTCTATTTGTTTTATTTGTTCCTTGTTTCCATCTATTCTTCTTTTTCAGAGCTTATCTTATTTCTTGCTCTGTGATTAAAACAATCTTTGTTTTGTGTCAAGGATAGGCAGAGCCCATCTTATATAATAATGCTCATCTATCAAACGGTGAAGAAAAAGTAGTTCGACTCAGAGAAGTAGGATATTAAAAACTTGCCTCAGGCTAGGATTTAAATTAAGGAGGTAATGGCACAAATATGACAAAATAAGAACTAAGACTAATCAAGAAAATAGATTAATAGATCTTTATATCAGGAATAAATATTGCTACTAATGGCATATTATGAAATTATATTTCTGTGGTTATTACACAACTGTGACATTTCTGTGCTTATTACCGGGACATGACAGTTTTCTTGCTCAGAAGAAAGGTAGTTCTTAATTTGAAAAGAAACATTATTGAAATAATTACCTGAGTCATTTTCTCTCGATTAGCCTTGGGATTTAAAGGAGCTTCTGTGAGCAGCACAGGATGCTCTTCAGGGGCAACACGAAGTTCATTGTAGAAAGAATGATGCCAAATCTAAAAAATAGCAAACAATTTTTATTTGCACTGAGGGGGGTCTATCCTCCCATTTTAGCTGACTCAATTTTACAACATTTCATACCATTGCATTGTACCATTGGGGAGCTGCATGTTTCATTTAGTCCCATACATGAAATATTCAGGCATTCAATATCCAGAGCCTTCAAATCACATGAGCATGACAGATACTCCCACTGCTCTGCAACAGCTACAAAAAAGAATCCTTGTGCAGCAAGGATTGCTGCAAGTTGTATTAAGGCACAACTCCCTACAAGGAAGATATCATTTAAGTGGCACCAGGCGAGTAAGACATAACCAGAACATCCATGAGATTTTCCTTAATATTCCCATAATATGGACATGTTTTCATATAAACTCTGGCAGCAAATGCTTCAGACAGCCATGCTTGAAAGCTCTGTTACAGAGACCTGAATCTGGATTTTTGAAATTTTTTCAGAAATTTTCATTACAGTGACTTTCAGGATTGTCCATAATGGAAAAAGTTGCCCAAGGGATTTAAGTGTAATATATTACATACGAAATCAAAGGCTTGTCATTCTATTCATATATAATGACTAGATTCCCCCTATTTTTGTCTAATTTTTCACATTTAAAGGGAAACCATTCAGTTTTCAGCAATGGCATTTCAAATTTTAAAATTAGATGCAAGGAAGAGCTAAAACTGATTTCCCTTCTAGGTGCTATGAAGGAACAATGGAGATTAGAAACAATGCCACGTTCTTGTCCTTTCTCTTTTGTGCACCACATATGTTGAATGCCTGATCTGCATTCTGATCTGCTCAGAGTGAGCAGATGAACCCAGATCTAGACTCCATGGTTTTGCATTCCATGTCTCAACACTCATTTAGCACCATGTGACATCTATTACAAGAAATCTGGCCAGAGCACACAAATGTATGTGCAATGTTTCAAAATTGTTCTAACAACAGTTGTTCTGTCCTCACCGCTTCATTCAATTCTGTGCATGCTATCATCCAAGTTCAAGCTGCCAACTAGATCATTTGGAGGAGAGTTCCTGCTGTGGAATCTGGGATGGGTGCTGTCGAGGGTCTCAGAAATCAGTCAACACAGCCAAATAGTGAGGCTCCTGTAATTTTATCCCTCTCGCTGTTTCATTTATTTGAGAAATTTATATGCCACCCATCTGGAGTTAGCTAAACCATGGACATGATGGGAAAAAGGCAACAGGGGTAGAATGTGGAAGGCAATGCACAAACATATACATACACACATGTGCACATGCGCAGGCTGACCCACTTAGGTAAACTACCTTGAATCTATGGAAGTAGGCAATCTACTCAACTTTGCCATGAATTTTATTATCCAGAAGTTGTAGATACTCCATCACTGAAAGTTTTTAAGAAGAGATTGGACAAACATTTGTCTGAAATGGTATAAGGTCTCCTGCTTGAGCAGAAGGATGTCCTTGAAGATCCCTTCCAACTCTGTTATTTCTGTTATTATTCTGTCCTTCTCCTTCATTCTATGAATATGGGCTATGCTATGGGAGCCATAGTGGCGCAGTGGTTAGAATGCTATATTACAGGCTAACTCTGCTCACAGCCAGGGGTTCAGTTCTGACCAGCTCAAGGTTGACTCAGCCTTCCATCCTTCTGAAGTTGGTAAAATGAGGAGCCAGATCATCAGGGGTAATATGCAGACTTTATAAACCACTTAGAGAGGGCTGTAGAGCACTATTAATTTTATTTATTTATTTATTTTATTTTATTTCTATACCGCCCTACTCCCGAAGGACTCAGGGCGGTGCACAGCCAAACAATAAAACACATACATACAAAATTTAAAAGTAGAATAAAATCAAATTAAATAATTTTGGCCCCAACAAATTTAAAACCCCAAACTTTTAAAACCAATTTAAAATTGAATGTATAAAATACTAAAAGATATTTAAAAATTAAAAATCTTAAAAATCTTAAATCTTAAATCTTTAATTTAAAAATTAAAAATTAAAAAAACTATGAAGCTGTATACACTAAGTGCTATTGCTATTGACTTCCTGAGATCAAATTCTGTGAGAAAATAGTACTACAGGAAAAAATAGTAGGGAGATAGAAATAGCAGGCAGAGGGGAAAGTATGGCAAAGAAAAAAGTAAATGGTTCAGTTTGGAGATGATAATTGGAAGAGAAGCAGGGACCCAAATATAACCAGAGGACACCTTATTCATTGGCCCCCTCTTGGACTCATTTCTATATGTGTTCTTTCACAGTGCTCTCCTAGGTAGGTCCACTCTACAGTAGGACCCACTGACTACATTCTTATTTCCTCCTGATAAAAACATGTTAAGATTGCACCTTCCCATTCTTGTCTGAATTATACCATCTTGATCTTGGCCTGTTTCCTGCCATCTAACTGTAATTTCTGTTCACTCTAAATGCTTAAGTCAGAAGTCAAATGTTGTTTTAGATTGCAAGTGGAAATCAGCAGCAAAAGGATTTGCAAAATCCCCACTTCCTCCCGATAAGCTGGGACTTCAGAGGCCGAGAATAGATGGGGGCGGGGCCAGTCAGAATTTTCACTACCGGTTCTCCGAACTACTCAAAATTTCCGCTACCGGTTCTCCAGAACTGTTCAGAACCTGCTGAAACCCACCTCTGAACCAGAGTCTTGGTTTGCCAAACAAATGACCAAACAAATGGCCAAGTCGTTTTATTTTTTTCAGCATAAAGGTGATTTCTCTGTATTTCTTGCAAAAGGAAAAATCTCTTTAGGAAGAAGAGTTTCTCCTTGCCTATTTTTTGTAGGTGATTATTACCTGCCCCTTTTTCTGACTAAACTATAAGCTTAGTTTCTAAATTTCTGGACTGAGTTGCAGCTGAGGCAGTTTAAGAAAAGTCTCTGAAGAAGATTTATCTGTTTGTTTGTTTATTTATTTATGATGAGCCACGGTAGCACAGTGATTAGAGTGCAGTACTGCAAGCTACTTCTGCTAATCACTGGCTGCCAGCATTTTGGCAGATCAAATCTCACCAGGCTCAAGGTTGACTCAGCCTTTCAGCCTTCCAAGTTGAGTAAAATGAGAACCCAGATTTTGAGGGGTTATAGGCTGACTCTGTAAACTGCTTAGAGACAGCTGTAAAGCAATGTGAAGCGGTATATAAGTCTAAGTGCTATTTAATTTAATTTAATTAATTTAATTAATTCAATTTATATGACACCCCTCTCCGAAGACTCAGGGCGGCTCACAATACATTTTTAAAAATCATTATAAAAAACATTTAAAAATTAAAAACATTAAAAACTCATTCACACCATTCATGGCCGGATCTTGCCAGATCACAAGAGCAAGATCAACGGCCCCAGGCCTGCCAGAAAAGCCAGGTCTTCACCGCTTTTCGGAAGGCCAATAGGGTGGGGATGATCCGGACCTCAGGAGGTAACTGGTTCTAGAGAGCTGGGGCAGCCACAGAGAAGGCCCTCCCCCGCGGGCCTGCCAGCCGGCATTGTTTAGCTGATGGGACCCGGAGGAGACCAACTCTGTGGAATCTTACCGGTCGCTGGGAGCTATGCGGCAGAAGGCGGTCTCGAAGATAAGCTGGCCCTAAACCATGTAGGGTTTAAAGGTAATAACCAACACCTTGAATTGTGACCGGAGACCAATAGGGAACCAGTGCAGCTCACGGAGAATTGGTGTAATGTGGGTGTACCTAGGTGCACCCACGACAGCTCGTGCAGCTGCATTCTGGACCAACTGTAGTCTCCGAACACTTTTCAAGGGTAGCCCCATGTAGAGCGTGTTGTGCAATAATATAATCGTGAGGTGACAAGGGCATGAGTGACTGTGAGGAGAGCTTCCTGATCCAAGTAGGGTCGCAATTGGTGCACTAGGCGAATCTGTGCAAAGTTCCCCCTAGCCACAGCTGTCAGATGTTGCTCTAATTTTAGCTGTGAATCTAGGAGGACACCCAAATTGTGAGCCCGTTCTGAGGGGACAATTTCTCCCTGAACCAAGGATGGACAATCAACATAGTGTTTAGGAGGCAATACCCACAGCCACTAGGTCTTATCTGGGTTAAGTCTGAGCCTGTTGACTCCCTTCCAGACCCTCATAGCCTCCAGGCACCGGCACATCACATCCACCGCATCACTGAATTGACGCGCGCTATTGCTATTTAATCAATTTCTACAGCCTATGACTATGGAGACAAACAATACAGTTAGTCCTTAACTTACAACCATTTGTTTAGTGATCATTTAAAGTTACAATGGTACTGAAAAAAAGTGAATTACTACCACTCCTCACATGTAATGACCATCACAGTGTTACTATGTTCACTTGAAAAAAATTCAGCAAGCGGTATATATTTACAACAGCTGAAGCATCCTGGGGTCATGTGATTACTTTTCCAGCTGGCTTCCTACAACAAAGTCGGTAGGAGAAGAATGGATTCATTTAATAACCACAAGATTCACTTAAAAACTTAAGTGATTCACTTAACAGCCATGGCAAAAAAGGTCATAAAGGTGATAAAATCAAATGCAACTCACTTAAGAACCACCTTGCTTAGCCACAGAAATTATGGTCCCAATTGTGGCCGTAAATTGAGGATTACCTGTAATAAAAGTAGGGCATTTAATCCAGACACCTGGATGAGTGGTACATTAATTCTGGGATTATTTGTCTTCATGTTCAACTACCATAGAAAAGAAGTCATTAAGTAGTCCAAAGTCTTCAGTTATCTTTTTTCAAGGACAGCTCTTTTGCTTTTTGTCTATGGAGATTCTCAGTCATTCAGATCATGGTTGTCCCAAAGAATAGAATAGAACAATTCTGTATTGGCCAAGTGTGATTGGACACACAAGGAATTTGTTTTTGGTGCATATGCTCTCAGTGTACATAAAAAGACAAGATACTCATCAAGAATCACAGGGCACAACACCCAATGACAGTCATAGGGTACAATAAGCAATCAAATCATACTAGGAAACAAAGATGCTTTTTCAAGAGGCAACTGGACTTTCTGGTTTTCCTTTTAAGACATTTCGCTTCTCATCCAAGCAGAGTGAAGAAGCTTCTTGGATGAGAAGTGAAACGTCTTCAAAGAAAAACCAGAAAGTCCAGTTGCCTCTTGAAAAAAAGCACCTTTGGGACTCATTCACTTTTGAAACTTTCATATGATTATATTGGAACAGGGTGAGATTGAAGAGATGAATTTGTTGTGGGCTACATATGAAGGTTTAGCTGGGGTGTCAGGTTTTGTTTTAGTTTTTAATACTTGTGTTTTTAATATTTTTTTTGTGGTACATAGATGTTGTTTTATCTTTTGGTTGTGAGACACCCAATGTTTGGTACAAGTTGGGTGGCCAATTTTTAAAATAAAATAAGAAAGAAAAAGAAAATCTTTCACAGATTATTGAACATGGAGATGAATGAAACAAACCTCAGCCCTTGCCAATGAAGGCAGAGAGGTGACTGTTAGAGGACCTTGGGGTCAGGAGATGAAGTCTTGCTAGCTACCGTCCCTGCTTCTGAGCTTTTAATGATTTAGCATATTTAGATAAACACAGCTGGGGATTTTGAGAGACAAAGAATCGCGCAAACACAGCAAAGAATGTATCACAGATGCCACCTTTTAAATTTTAGAACTACTTGACAACACAGGAAATAGAAATGAAAGGGGAAAGGGGGAATTACAGAGATGTGGTGGGAATAATTAGGGCTGTGAATGGGATCAAGTGAAATGTTATTTATAGAAAAGCTATGCTACCATCTAGAGGACACAATATGTCATTCCATCCCCCCAGCCTATCCTCAAAAAAAGCAGGACAGCATGTCTATGGATATTCTCCATAGAGAGAATCTATGCATAACTGAAGAAGCTTCTTCAATGAGAAACAAAATGTTTTCAAAGAAAAAAAACCCAAGAAAGTTTAGCTGACTTTTGGAAAAGCACTTTGGGATAGTAGCATGGCAGTTCTCAGAATCAGCTAAAGGGGCAAAGAAAGGACGAGGCAGGTTCTGAAGGCTGAGGGGAGGAAATTAAGAAATTATCATTATAGCCTCATCATTTCTATAGAGCAGGGGTGTGTTAGACTCAAGGCCTGTGGGCCTTGAGGCCCATGAGGTGCTTAGATGTGGCCTGCAGGGCCACCCTGGAAACAGCAAGTGCCTCTACCAATGAAAACGGAGCTCGGGAGGGCCACACACAGCCCCCCTAACTCCATTTTCCCTGGCAGAGAGTTGTAAGCAGCCGTCACAGCTGAAAACATAGCTCAGGAGCCCATTTTTGCTGGCAGAGTACTTGGGCCACCACAGGCACCCCCCAAATAAGTGATGTTGAGCTGGCCATGTCTACTCTGGCCATGCCCACCCCGGCCCCCTGAGATCAAACACAACCCTGATGCGGCCTTCAATGTGAAAACCAAATTCTCTAAGCAACTTCTAAAATTCTGCTAAAGCAATCACATAAAATCAAGCAAGCAAACAAACAAAAATATTTATGCCAGAACAGAGCACACATTCAGTCTGGATCTCTACAAAAGTTTCAGCATGGAAGCAATAACTTTATCTCAGTTATTGCTTACGACTGTTCCCTATCATAAATAGGCTCCCCCTCTTCACAGAGCAGAAATACAAGCAAACATACAGCAATGTGCACCCCTGCACACTTAGCATTTTCAGCTTCTTCACACAAATTGTGGCACAAACAAGTGTATGGGAATAACATAGCCACAAAAAGCATGACCTCAAGAAAAAGCAAGGATGCCTCCCATTGTTTTGGTACAAAAAAGAGACTTTATATTGTACTGTACATAAAAGAACTCTATGGTTGGTTCCAAAGCAGAGGAATTTGCTATCTCTCTGGTGCAGGTACTATTACTTGACATTTTCAAAACTAGCAAATCATAGGGAGTCACAAAAAGCACTCACCTTTTCCATGTCATCCCAGTTTGTGATAATACCGTGCTCAATGGGATATTTCAGGGTCAGAATTCCTCGTTTACTTTGTGCTTCATCCCCAACATAGCTGTCTTTCTGGCCCATCCCTACCATAACTCCCTGAAATCAATCAAAGGAAAACATCACCATTAATACTGTATCACAAACATTACATAAACTAACTAGTGTCTGGTGTAATTCAGCATTAGCATTAACAACAAGAGGGGTAAATTCTTCTATTCTGCTTTAGTCTATGTCTTTGGCAATCCCACACAATTCCTTTCATAGCTTTCCCTGCATAGGTAAGTCAACACTCCTCTTCCTGAAGCAGACATCTATAACATCTAGACAATAATATTATAAAACCATTGATAATCATACATTACATAGGCTATATTATGGTAGAAAATCAGTCAACGTGAATTTATAGGTAGTCCTCATTTAATGTCCACTCATTCAGCAACCATTCAGGAAAACAACACTATGGAACTAGGGTTGCTTATAAAAGTTCTTATAATTGTGGCTGTCACAGCATTCCCGCATTCATCTGATCATTATTTGCAATTTTCATCTTCCCAAAAAGGCAATGAGGAAGCTGGCAGGAGATTGCAAATGAAGATTATGTGAGTGCAAGATGCTACAACCTTACAGGATTTACCTAATGATGGGACTGCCAGAATTGCTGTCATAAATTAAGGTGGTCATGTGACATCACACCAAAAATCTATGTTGCTTAGCAATGGTCCCAATTACTGTAAATAAGTGAGGACTACCTGTACTATATTGTAAGTAAGTGAGGACTACCTTGTACAATATTGTAAGCAAATGAAGACTACCTGTACTATATTGTAAGTAAGTAACTACCTGTACTATTTGTAAGTAAGTGAGGACTACCTGTACAATATTGTAAGCAAATGAAGACTACCTGTACTATATTGTAAGTAAGTAAGGACTACCTGTACTATATTGTAAGTAAGTGAGGACACCTGTACTATATTGTAAGTAAGTGAGGACTACCTGTACTATATTGTGTGGGACCAAATTCCATAAGGTATGGGTTTCAAACTTTCAAGTTTCAATATTTGATTTACTTCAGTGGGAAAAAATAACCTGCTACATCACACTTTTATTGATACATTTTTTCAAGCAAGGGGACTACAGCTGATGCAATTATATATATACTTGTCTGGAAGAGGTTCCATGGAGGATTATGGATTGCACTGCTAAATAAGCATATAAGATTGTTCTGTAACTCTCCTACTAAAACCAACAAGATTTAATGTTTAATTATGCCCAAATTTGATGCCATACATCAAATACTCCACAGCAGCTCTCATCAAGAGGTGATTTACTTTCCAACTATTCTATCTTTGCTCTTGATACACATTCAGAATTGCTAACTCTGTTTTGCTTTACTTTAGCTTATATTTTAAAATACTGATTTATTTGATGTTGTGATGTTCTTTTGAATTTTTTATAAAACTGGGTTGATTACATGGAAAATATTAAACTACAACATATACAAACAATTCTGTAACTATACCATATTTGTAAACTATCTTATATAACATAACAGAATTTAGCTTTTCTTTTTAAAATGCACATTCTAGGATTTAACATGCAGGTGTAAAACCCTGAAGACCATTCTTAGAGACAAACTCATGTTTCGAAAAGTATTTTTAATCTATAAATTTTATTCTGTTTCTTACAGGCTGCCTTAATCAGTTGATTGCAAATTACTTACATTGTTGTTATTTATCTTAGATGATCGTTCATCTTGTGAAGAGAAATGACGGTCCTATGTTTTATACATTATATTCTAGTCATCGATATGCAACATTGATAACATCAGAGAATTAAACAATATTTTATTCTGAAATATTTTGTACAAAGTTCTATATCTATCACTAGATATAGGCAGCACAGCCATTTGCCTCAACTAACAGAGGCTGAGTAGGACAGTAATTGCCAGGCAGGAAAGGTAAAACAAAGCCAAGATGGAAGCTGCAACTGTATGATTTTCATACATGCATCGCTCATCGCAAAACATGTAAAAAAAAAGAACATGTAAAAAAAGAACAAGCCACCTTCTTGATGTTCCTCCAGATGGCAACTTCCTTGCTCTTTCTCTGAATCTCCTGCCATTTTTTTTTATTCACAACGAATTTTTGCTCACCACCTTTCCAGTTTTAGTTTCCTAAATTGGTCTTCAGAAGTAGTGCTCAGCTGAAGGAAAATTCAATTAAGAATCCACTAATTTCCTACATGGGAGATTTTTTTAAAAAGTATTGGAGCAATCCAGTTTTATAAACTGTTGAAAAATGTTTGATGGTTTTTGAGATGTACTCAAATCAAATGCAGTGATTTTAAAAATAGTAAGGACCGATTTATCACCAACCTTCAGTTTTTTTAAAATTTATATTATTTAAACTGACCTGGTGCCGAGGTCGCCCAACAATAGATGGAAAGACAGCCCGGGGAGCATCATCTCCTGCAAATCCAGCCTTACAAAGCCCAGAACCATTATCACAGACAAGAGCTGTGGTTTCATCATCATCACCCATCACTCCTCACTATCCTTTCAGCAAAAGTCAAGGAAAAAAAATAGGTCTGGAGTTTGGGAAATAATTTGAACTATCAAACATCATTTACACAAACAGTAAGCAAACCATATAATATAGCTTATAATAAATTCAGAAAACATATACACAAATCAATTCATATGACAGCGCTGATTTTAATTATATTCAAGCTGAAATAACCTGAAAAGGAACTGGTCGTAAGATCTTTAGACTCATTTGTTTGTTTCTTAAATGGTCCTCTTTCTGGGCTTTAAAGTAGAACTTTAAGCTTTTTTTAAGGTACAAATAAAATACTCCAACTACTCACAAGATGTTTATGTATGGGGTGAAAAGAATAAGCTTTTTTCTTCTTGACAGACCTTGTGCCCCTGAATATCTGTTCATGAGTTGGAAAGAAGCAGTATGGAGATTATAAGGAAAGTCAATGAAAATGGATTCCACTCTTCTACCAACAGAAACTTTTCTTAGAACAAAGATAGCCAGAAATAGATATTAAGAAGGAAGAGATAATTAAAAATGATGAGTGAAAAATAAATGTCTTGAGGTATTTATTGTACAGAGAGCTGGTTCAATGGTTCAAGCAGCACAGATGGGCAAGATTAAACAGAATATATAAAACAAGAATGATTAACAGTGTGAATGGCATCAAGATGAAGCTTTAGGATGCAGAGAAAAACAACTTCTCATGATTTTTCAAAGGTGCATGGATGTGCAGAAATAGAATAACATTATAATAGGAGTCCTATTTCTGGATTTCATGCACATTGAATTTGTATGTATGGTTTCATGCATACAAATCTTTTTATAACACCCTCTGCATTATCAAAAATCTTGGAAGGCTTCCACTTGTAAAGAATACCCATTTGAAGCATAGTTGTGTATAATCTTAGATGCTTATATATGTTTTGCTAATCTTAAAAGTAAAGATTCCCCCGCACATGTGTGCTAGTCGTTTCCGGCTCTAGGGGTGGTGCTCATCTCCGTTTCTAAGCCGAAGACCCAGCACTGTCCAAAGATGTCTCCATGGTCATGTGGCTAGCATGACTCAACATCGAAGGCGCATGGAGCGGTGTTACCATTCCCACCAAAGTGATCCCTATTTTTCTACTTGCATTTTTTTTCATGCTTTCGAACTTCTAGGTTGGCAGAAGCTGGGACAAGTAACGGGAGCTCACTCCATTACGCTGTGCTAGGGATTTAAACCGCTGAACTGCTGACCTTCTGATTGACAAGCTCAGCATCTTAGCCACTGAGCCACCACATCCCTAGTGGCTAATCTTAGGCTCTACCTATTAGTGCATCCTGAGCACAAGGATATAAATTTTTTACATTCTACTAGGTAAACAGCTGGGAATAGGAGAAATGGCAATGCCTACACTGAAATCCAGCTGCCATTTCTAGGGGATTCACAATGTTAAAAAGATTCCCATAGAATACTCGACTGTTGAGTGAAAAAAAATGAACAAAAAGAAGTCAGCTTCATTCCACATATTCCAGTTTAAGAGCATGCACTAATTCTCCTGAATATCTCTATTCAGCTGTATAGCCAAAGACATTTCTTAGATGTGTACATATTTCTGTATACAGGTGTAATCTCTTCAAACATGGTAGACATTTATCAAATTTTCTTGAGAAATGTCAAACTGAGGATCTTAACTTTTTTGCATTCCTCAGTAACAATTGAAATTTGAGCAAGTTAATGTTAATGGAGGGAATTCACTCTTGCTTAGAATTTGAGTAGTTCAGCTAAGTTTTCTGAGATACAGGAATATTTATTAGAACAATAGGGAAGAAGTACTATTTCCTAATTAAATTTACTCCCTACTACCCAGTGGTGAAATCCAATTTTTTTTACTACCAGTTGGGCATGGCTTGGTGGGCGTGACTTGGTGGGCATGGCAGGGGAAGGATTCTGCAAAATCCCCATTCCCACCCCACTCTGAGACCAGCCAGAGGTGGTATTTGCCAGTTCTCCGAACTACTCAAAATTTCCGCTACCAGTTCTCCAGAACCTGTCAGAACTTGCTGGATTTCACTCCTGCTACTACCTTTTAATCAAACAGACAGTGGGGGTGGGATGAGGTAAGGATAGATTTGCCTGGAGAAAATACTAAAATTTCCCTCTCTACTTTTTGGGTTAACTTCTGATTAAAAGTGTATCAGAGCCTTGCTACAGGACCTACCTACTCCTGATACTAATATATTGAGCACAGACAGGAGAATCCTATTCATGCATCTTGTATAGCTTCCTAATATCTCTATCTACAACCTCCTTCTTCAGTAACTAGATTCTGGAAGGTGGGTCTAGGGAGCAGTGCTGCCTGTCTATTATTTTTCCTCATATGAAGACATCATTATGTAATTAACTCAAGAAAGACTTGTGGCTTAGATTATGTTCAATTTGTACATAAAGCAAGTATGTTATTTGAAGCTAGTCTACAGCAGCAGCATGTTCCTCACCCACCCAAATTATCCCCATAATGTAAACAATCTCAGCAGGAAAGATCTAAAAATAGACCGTCTCTGGAAAGCTTTGGTTAATTCTTTGAAATGGCAGCTGTTCCCATTAAGTGCTCACTTACAAGAACCATTCTGTATTTGGGAATTGTGAACCCTTATCAAAAGAACTGTTCTAGGAAGTGAAGTGAGATAGGACCGCGTTTATTTACCATAAACAAGTACAATAGACTTAACTTGAGATTCTGAAGTTCAGCTGTAAGGCTAGGTGCTTTCCCTTCACTTCTGCCAGATAGTGATAATCAACATGGTGTAAGAAACAAACAATCCCATTTTTTTCTCTGGAAATAGAAACCCATTTCCCAATGTACCTAAATCACTGCTGAAAATGTTTTTTTTCCCATTCATCTTGTAATGGAGGCATTAATCAATGGAGTACCTGTCAGAAGCCATTAGAATCCATATACTTTGGATTTTTCTCCATCTCTGTTAGACATATTGAATTGTACAACATGCTCTTGTTGCAGATATATATTCCCAATAATCTTTCCTTTTTTAAGAAGTCAGCCATCCAATAAAGTTCAGGTGCTCAAAGAAAGCCAACAGTGATTTAGTAAGATTGTTGAAGTGAACATTTCAATCATTTTTAAGGTGTGGTGCAATTAGCTAGAATTGAATAGAAAAGAACATAAAAGTTTGATGCGCTGAAATGTGTTTTTATGAAATGTATTTGGAATTCAGAACATGCTTCTCTACCAAAAACAAATGGATTTCTTCATGAATGATGCAAAACAAAGGCATTTTCAATTTGCAAATAAAATGGGGACATGATTGCAAAAAGAGAAAGTGATGTTAAAGAGACAAGAAGCAAATACTGTAATAGCAGATAATGTGGATATGTGAAAGAATTCTAACATCATACTCTTTATACAAAGGTCAATAAATTTCCTCAGAAAAAGTGGATGAATACTTGCAGAAACAGAATTAGTTCCAAAATTATACTGAAACCAAGATAAACCAATCTATACTGTTAAAATGAATTAAAATGTTAAATAACATAGCTTGAGTGTGTTTGCTAAAATTGTTTTCAGACAATTTAACGAATTTATACAGACTATTGAAATTTAATTAACAATGTAATATATTTAATATATTAAAATATGCTTTGATAGATCAGAAACTTTTAAAAGTTACTTTTGTCAAATGCGAAAAAGTTATCTTACTAAATACTTACCAAAAAGATACAAGGAGGAAACAAAAAATGCAACAGCTGTCTTGGAACAAATGAAACCCTCTCACCTTCTGTTACATTTATATAGCAGTTTGTGGGATGTACTACACTATACAGGTCTACCATGCCATTTTTGGAAACATTTTTTTTCAGGGTATGCTTATCACTTTGACAGCTTACAAGGCTGGATAAATTAGGGCACAATTTCTGGCACTCTTGGATACTTTCCCACTGTAGGTTGTTAAACTGGCTTCCTCTTTGCTTCCCAATCCTTTTTCTCACTTTATGTTTCCTTAAGCAATTTGCTTCATTAAATTATTTAGTTAACTGTCAGAAACTTTGTTCACACTCAACTGGCTTTGGTTCCAAAAGAAAAAAGTAACCAGTGCAATAATATGGCATGAACCATTCAAGTTGTCATCAGGTTTTGGAAGAAAGCAGACATAAAATAACTACCTTATCTTGGGATGGGATGACTCTATGCCTGAAAACTGTGGCTGACTCATAATTGCTGGTCATTTCCTTCTATCTCTTTGTTTAGTTTACATGGCCTATAGCACTTTTTTTTTTATCCAGCCTCTCAAGAGGCTTAGTTATTCTTGGAATAGGTTTAGATCTATTCTATGAATAACTAATTTTAATCCAATCCATTATAAAGCATACTATACTAAAAGCAGTGTGTTAAGTTGGGAGAATCAAGTTATACCCACAACTCTTTTAAAATGATTACTTAGCCAAGGAACCTATGTTTATATGGTTATATGGTACATTTTCAGTTCCCTATACCAGTGATGGCTAACCTTTTCTGGACTGAGTGTCCAAAGCACGCGTGTGTCCATGCGATTGCCCCAAAATGCAATGTGCATGTGCCCCCTGCATGTGCCCCACCCCCAGTGCATGCGTGCATGCCCCCTGCATGTGCCCCACTCCCCATGCATGCGCGGCAAAGACCTGAAGACCAGCTGGCTGGCAGGAGGCACCCGCACATGCACAGTAGAGCTGAACTGGGGCAACGGCTTATGTGCCATCAGAGAGGGCACTGTGTGGGATAGGTTCGCCATCACAGCCCTACGCCAATCCTCCATAAAGCTTTTTTTCTGATTTAGAGTCCTCAAATGATTCCAATTCCCAATTCCAGAACTGGCTCAAAAATCTAGAGTATGTGAGGCTGGAAAAAGCAGTCCTCATTCACATGCTCTGCAAAATACCTGTGAATGACTACAGCAAAACTACTTTTACTCACCATGAAGGTGAGATAGCTCAGCATTCATACCTTGCAGATTGCAGCTTCTTGCACATCAATAAAAAATATTCTTAGGGATTGCAGCACATACACCTGATTGTAGAGATGTACTTCTATTCTAGAGATTAATCTTCAATTCAAAGCATAATAGTGATCTTCAAATATTTCATGTGTGTGAAAAGTGGAGCAGACTTTTTCAGTGTGACGTGAGAGCAGAGCATTGTAGTAAATAACTTTTAAGATTTCTTCTGAGTGAATCATTCATTCCAGTAATTCAGTTATCCTTAAAAGCATGTAACAATTTGGCAGGTATGGTATTTTTAAAAAAATTACTACTCACATGCCTCTTACCAAGATTAATTTTTCTAGTCAAAGACAGAAAATACTTAGATTTCAAAATAAACACTAAGTACATATGTTTTCTTTTCCGTGTTTGCATCTGAGAACTTATTAGTTCAATTTAGTTTTGTTCAAAATAGGCAGCACTTCATTTAGCTGTAAGTTACTTGCTAGCTGTCAGATCCTTTCAGACAACTGATTTCATTAATGATCCTTTGTATTCCCTTGGCTTTTCCCCATTAGTTACTTTTCGGGTATTACCGATAATTTGGCACACCTGGATCTACCATACAAAGAAAGAATTCTATCTATGAATGTTGGTCTTTTTTCAGTGCCAGTTCCTGATAATGTGATTAATTATCCTTGCAAAAATTCCCTCTTTTTTAGTAGTGAAAATTATCTTTTTACAAAAAATAAAGCAAAAAAAGGTATACTTAAAACGGCACTTAGAATTGCTTCTTATGACAAACACTTTCTCCTTTCATTATGAAAGGTAATCAGAATTATTAGTCAGATCATAAATTTCTCAAATTAGTACTACCGAGAACAGAACATTATTATTCTCCCAACTCGGGAGGACCTGGATTGTGGGGGCAATAAACTGACTTTGTAGAAACACCGCTTATGGGGGGCCAAAAGCCCTAATAAGCAGGTATATACAGAAGAATGAAGGCTATTGCTATAAGTGCATTGTAAGCTGCCCTGAGTCTTCGGAGAATAAATAAATAAATAAACAAACAAACAAACAAACTCTCTCCTCCATTGTTGATATTACTACTAGATGGTAAAACCTGGAATGTTATCAACCACACACTTAATGTGTTGTACAATTAGATTATATCTAAAATAATTTCTATGAATTGGAAAACTTCATTTTATGCAACACAAAAACTTCCCTTATGTTATGTCTCATGAAACAAAAAATAAAATTATAGAATAGAATCAGAAAAAAAAGATTTAGTTATTGCCAATCACCTCGTACAGACTATAGTAAGCATTCAACATATCACAGACAAGTTCAGTTCTTAAGATTTTATTTAAAGTTGAGAAATTCATAATGATTCCAGCTTTCCCTCCCTATATTGCACTCTGTGAGCTTCTTGTTATAATCAAGAAGCAAAGAAACCCAATAGTTGAGAATAGTTTTCCCCAAATGTATAGTTCAACTCTGTTAAAATAAATTTATATAGAAAAGATAGCATTTACAACTGATTTGTCAGTGTTCAGCTATTCCATATTCCCCAAATATATTAAACATCCCAATTGCAGCAGCTTCTAGTAGTTTTTTTGATAATGTTTTTTCTTAGCAAATATAATATTCCATTGTTATAGAGCTACTCAAATCAACTTTGGAACAACTGGATGTACATCTAAAACTTCTTGTTAATGAAGTTGAAACCCACACCTTACACAGAAAATATATAAACTGTATCCAGTGCATAGCTTTACAGTAGCTTTTGAGAAGTCCATTATCTCAAATTGGCACACAAAATAATTCACACAGCAAATTCAGTGCATTTATAAGACGCCTGTTAGACATAAGACAACTAGAAGATGTAGCATCACCAAATAACTAAGAAAAAGATAGCGAGATTTTGTCCGTGAGGTCAGCAACTTGGAGCAGAAAATACTTCGTCCCCGGATCCATCTCCTAATAGAAAGTGCTCCTCCTTTTACCTGCACAAAACCAAAAGAATACACCTTGTTTAAAAGTACACACTGCAAACATTTATTTGATCTGTTCAGTAAATACAGGCTTAGTTATTAATTGTGATGCAAAAACTTTTATATGCACATAAATTTGATAATGCAATAATTGATCTGATTGTCGGGACAGCTTGCACAAATATTTTCATGTCATCAGTGTGCGAACTCAGTAAAACTAAACAATGAAAGAATTCACTCAATTTAAGTGTCATATATCATCTGAAGTTATTATATTATGTTCTAGTTACCTTATCTATTTCTTTGACATATTTCTTTCTCCAAGAACTAAACTTGCTTTTAAAATTATTATTATAGCTTTAGGAGATAGAGCTAGTTATCGGCTCAAGGACACCTGCTGAGTTTTATGATCGACTGAGCTTCCAGTCTTAAGCAAACTCCCCAATTATTTGCACATTTACAGAGAGGATTGCCCTTGAACATAGACATCTTAGTAATTCAGTGGCATTTCAAAGGGCAGCACTTCGATAGTTATGTATTTTTTTAAAAGTGATTCAAATATTGCAACTGTTGAAAGGTGAGATCAAGTGGCATTTGAGAAAACCGTATAACCAGAATTTTGTTAAAATACCAGACTTATTTCAGTCCTGGATGCAAAGCAAAGAACTTAACGAGAATCTAGAGGCACAAAGTCTAATGGGAAATTATGTTCTCTGTTTTTTTTTTATGATGTGAGTTATTTTCACATCAATGGAGATTTCAATTTATGAGCTTACCTTTTGCACTACAATATGTTCATTTGGATTGATGACCAGAGCTTCTCTTTCTTCATCAGACTCCATCTGAACAGCATAATCCCTGGGTGATGATCTGTAAGTAGTCATTTCAAGCCTTGAAAGAAAAGTTAATAGAGATCAAGATTCCAGAAATTTCTAAGCAATAACCAACTATTTATTTATGTACACTTTTCTTTGAATCATGATTTTTAATATCAATTGTTTTTTTTTCAAATTGTTAGATTTTTTTACTTTTCAAGCAGACAAGATTTTTTTTTATTAAGATCCTTTTTGTTTTCTTTACTTATTAAATTTAATGCCAAATAATTCCAATTTCTGGTGGCTTACAACAAAAATATAATAAAAGAATCATCCAAAAACAAAAAACCCCAAATTTAACAATTTAATATAATAAAGTTTCTATGATGAAAAGAATATTAACAGACAATAAAATATTTCTCCACAGTATAATCATCCTAATCATCACAGCCCACAATATCTAAAAAA